CTGAGAACAGTCAAGCTGGTGAGGACTCGGGCAGCCCATGGGGCTGTCATCAACTCCATCTAAAGAGTTTATACCCTTAATGGGATCAGAGGTCTTATCGGCGATTCTTCGTAAGTGCAACAGAGAAACTATCTTTCTCTCACTACTGATTCCACACCTGACAATTCTCCTATTTATCAGTTAACAATTATTGTCTGAAAGCAAGTCAGATTACAGTGAGGAATTTATGAAGTTCTTAGCAACTAAGAAGCATGATGGAATCTAACCATTCTCTTCAGAAGACTGAAATGTGAACTGTCCTGACTTCACACACATTAGTGCCACATCGTAATACGAATCAATACGAATCATTAGGACATTGATTCTTGCGTTTCTGTATGCATCCAACAAGTTACAGCTATGTATAGAGGAAAACAAAAAGTGTATGGTTACTGTCAAAGGGGCCATTAATCCTGGCCCCAAACCCCCTCCTCTGTGAATCCTTCCCACCACCCCAGGAAGAGGAGGTTGTGCTCTTCTCACTCTCTTCAAATCTGTGATATGGCTCGGAGTTTATTTGGGGTGTTGTCTGTTTAATTTTCTTTACCACTGACTGAGAGCTCTCTTTGAGGAAAGGAATCACATCTTACTCAACCTCTATCCTCAGTATCCAGCATGAGTGTGGCACATAGAAGGGGTTTGAGAATATTGGTCTAATAGATACGTGGATAAATATTGGAGTGAGTATACAAACATCAGCATTTAGAAGTGATTCCCTGTCATTTTCTAAAGCTCTGGCTAACAAATACTCATTGGACAGCTAAGTAACACCCTTGGGTCCATGTTGTACCCTGAATTCACGGAATTGTCTCCAAGAAGCTTCAGAATGAAACATTCTACATTTCCAACTGAACTGTTAGACTCTGTAGATGCTGTGACCACCACCCCCATCTCCGGCCATGGAAAGGAAGGAACTATTTTTTAAATTTATTTTATTGAAGTGTAGTTGATTTACAATGTTGTATTAATTCCTGCAAAGTGATTCAGCTACACGTATATATACATTCTTTTTCGTATTCTTTTCCATTATGGTTTATCACAGGATATTGAATATAGTTCCCTGTGCTATATAGTAGGACATTATTGTTTATCCATCCTTTGTATAATAGTTTGCATCTTCTAATGCCAAACTCCCACTCCATCCCTCCCCCACACACCCCCCTTTGGCAACCACAAGCCTGTTCTCTATGTTTGAGTCTGTGTCTGTTTTGTAGATAAGTTCACTTGTGTCATATTACAGATTCCACATATAAGTGATATCATATGGTATTTGTCTTTCTGACTTATTTCACTTAGTATGATAATCTCTAGATGCACCTATGTGGCTGCAAATGGCAGTATTTCATTCATTTTAATGGCTGAGTAATATTCCATTGTATCTATGTAGCACATCTTCTTTATCCATTCCTCTGTTGATGGACATTTAGGTCGTTTCCATGTCTTGGCTGTAGTAAATAGTGCTGTTATGAACATAGGGGTGCATGTATCTTTTTGAATTATAGTTTTGAAGGAACAATTTTTAATAGTGCTTTGTGAGGGAGTGCTGTCCCTTGTCCTAGACATTGCCACAACCATGTGGAGCCTGACGACACCTTGCCTCAGATGCTCGTGTCACCTCGCTCTGTGTCCTGGACTGCTCTGCCACCAGGGATTGGACATCTGCTGGGCCCGCTCAGCCAAGATGGAGAAGACAACCCTCCCTGTGGTGGGTGGGGACCTGGGAATGAATGCGGCTAGCGGACAATTTTAAGGCACACTCACAAGGTTTCCTAGGCTGCCCTTGAGAGGAGGGAGCCTGTTTCCCACAGGGGTAATGAGCTCAGTATCATCCCCCTGGACAAGTCTTCCTTCTATGCTTCACTCTCCTCCATTCCCCACTTTTGTCTCTGGTACTACTTCTCTGAAGAAACCTCCTGTGAGCGAGCTTTTGTCAGAGGGTCTCTCTTTGGGGAAACTCAGGCAAAGTTCAAGCCATGAGGTGACTAAACCACCCATAACACCTCCTCAAATGAAAACTTTGACTAGGTTCAGGATGGATCATGATGACCGAAAAAAAAAAAAAGCAAGAAATATAATGCTTTAGTCTTCATCCTCATAAAATACAGGGAGTGTATAAAGATTCTATACTTAATTGTATAAAATTAATCATTCCACAAATTTTTAACAGTCCTTTAGTAATTCATATTCTTCCTTTAGATTGATATAAAAAATGAGGCCAATGAAATGTTTTCCTAAGTACTTACTTATAAAAGTGAATGAATAGCTATTTTCTAAGAAGCAACTGAACTTAAAATGTTACTTTATCCCATGAGACAGAAACTGACTCATCCAGTCTAGAGTAAAAGCCACATTGACTTTGCCTAGGTTTTTCTCCCCATCAAGCTCCCCTTTAATGCTATTCATCACACTTGAAATTACTTGCTTAAGGCCTATCTGTTCCACTAGACTGAAGCCCCATCATGGTGAGGACTATATCATTTGAAAGCATATCCTTAGCTCTGCATCTGGCACACAGTGGGTCCTCAATGGATGGTTAATGAGTTTAACTGAACAAAATATAAAACACCTGACTGAATCCTTACCACTCACTTGATGACTCAGAGACCTTCCCCTACAGTATCAGTCCCCTTGTGTTCATGTTAATTAAGGAATCCCCTTGCTGAATCAGTCCACAAGCCCCTCATACAGTGAAGATGTAGCAAAGGTTTGGGCTGGTCAGGAGAAAACCGAGAACAAAGCAACCTGATTTGCTTTACATCTAAGGGGAACCCTAATATGAACTCTTCTCTAGCTAAGTCACTCAGTTTCTCTTTACCACTAGTAAAGTTGGAATAATATTAAATCTTGAATTTCTGAAGTTGGAGAGCAAATTCAGCCAAGCACTCAATGGGCCTAACTGGACGTACAACTGAGAATTTGTTACCACTTGGATTTCAAAAACCTTAAGACCAAGATATTTGTCAATAATCATTAACATTGTTTAAAGTACTACCCCAAAGTTCTTTATGTTCAAATAAAATGTTTCCCGCTAAACTCTCTGTAGAATAAGTCTGACCTTCACAGAAAAAGGGAGCAAGTAGAACATTCTTATAAAAACTCTTTTCCTCTCTCTTTTCTTCTCCCCACAAAGTAACGCCCTTCATCTTGAAAACTCATATAACACATATTCTACTCAATCGTTTAATCGTATTGGACTCCTTTAGCTTTCTCCATGTTTGCTGTCTCTCCATTTCTTTCTTGTGCTGTGAAATCACTTCTAGAACCATCACTTTAATAATGCCACTGATAAGTAAATGACATTATGAGTCTCAGAATCAAACATGGTAGAGGAAGTAACACTTGTCCAAAGACTCTAGTTTTAGTCTTTGCTCTCCCATTAACTGGCTCCATGGCCTTGGGTAGGTGATACACATTTTCTGAAACTCACTTTCCTCTATTGTAAAATAGGAGGAAAGAGGATTGATTTCTATTTCACCTCTCAGCTTAAACCGTCTGTGAATATTTTCAAAGATGAGTCTTGGTAGATGTTTTGTTGAGTCAAGTTTTGTTCTGTCAATTGTACTGTGTCTGCGAAGTATTAATCAGTGTGCTTAGTCTGTCTTGTGCCACTAATGACTGTCTTCATCACAAATGATCATTCTTTTGGAAGTTGGAATACTTCCAGCAAGTTGGTGGCTTTACCACTTCAATTTCAAGGAGCAGGTGTTTTTTCTGAATTGGTGCTGGTCTGTCCAGGAAGGAAACCTGGATGAAGTTTGAAGCCTAGAAGCGTCTAGAATCTCCTCTTTGCAGAGCTAGAGGTGGCTTGCAGAGGACTCAGTTTGTAGCTTGTACACATTTCCTTCTTAGTCCTTTTCCCTGACTTTTTAACTGCCAAGGTGGGCAAGAAATAGAAGCAACTGGTGCTTTGTGACCACCTAGAGGGGTGGGATGGGGAGGGTGGGAGGGAGACGCAAGATGGAGGAGATATGGGGATATGTGTATATGTATAGCTGATTCATTTTGTTATACAGCAGAAACTAACACACCATTGTAAAGCAATTATACTCCAATAAAGATGTTAAAAAAAAAATAGAAGGAACAATTTAGTCTTGGTCCCCATACCAGAACCAGATCATAACCATTTAGTGATAGATTGTAAATGTTACTAACAAGCTCAAGCTAAGAGGGCAACTGGTGCTGTTGTATGTGGGGTATGGAATATATTTTGAAGTCTCAGAGAGGAGATAAACATTAGAATATAAAGGATAAAATATATCCTGTCAATAGTGATGGCATCACTAAATCCCATACCCATCTTGGAAATGATCACAACATCAAGGCCTGTGATTTAAGATGAGATTACATGTCAAATCATAAGCAGACCGCACCAAGTCACGTATTCATCTCACTTTTTCCCCAGAGTGACCATGACATAAGAAGGAATTGATATTGTGATGCCTAAATTGTCCTTAAGATGGAGATACTGAGGCCACAAAATTTCAGTCTCAGAAATTCAGAAAGAAGTTAATTAGATATTTGGGAACACTTTCCCACGTGAGAGAATTGTGGTTTGCTTTACGTACCCATTTTAAAGAAATTCAAAGCTGTTTATCAGAAACAAGGAATTTTTTTTTAAATTTCATTTGATAGTTGTAAAAGAATAATAATTTGGGGGCTTCCCTGGTGGCACAGTGGTTGAGAGTCCGCCTGTCGATGCAGAGGACACGGGCCGGGAAGATCCCACATGCCGCGGAGCGGCTGGGCCCGTGAACCATGGCCGCTGGGCCTGCGCATCCGGAGCCTGTGCTCGGCAACGGGAAGGGCCACAACCGTGAGAGGCCCGCGGCGTACCGCAAAAAGAAAAATAATAATTTGAATAATCTTTCCTCCTCAGAGACACATACTTGGTCCTTTAGGGTAAGATCCTTTTTCTTTTTTCTTTTTAAACAACTGATGATCAACTTATTAAAAATGTTGATTTAAGCATCCGCAGTGGTGACTTCAACCTCGACTCCTGGCTCAATACTGATGGAAGTGTTCTGCTTGACAATCTCAGAGGGACTGTACAGGTCAATGAGTCGCTTGTGGATCCTCATCTGAAAACGGTCCCAAGTCTTAGAACCTTCACCACAAGTTTTCCTTGTAGTTATTCTCAGAGTCTTGGTAGGTATGTGTCCATTTGTTGCCAAGTTAAGCTCCAAGACATTACTTTCTGACCGAGGTACTGTTAATAATAGTTCTTAATTCATTTATTTTGTTAATGAATGTTAATTTTAATTATGTGTATTGTTATTAATTACATTATTGTTAATACATTATTGTTAATTAATAATGCACTATCTAATAAGTGAAATAATTCACAAATAACTCAAAAAAACCCAAAAAACAAGGGAGGAGTTTTCTAGAATTGCATCAAATACTATAGAAATGATTGATGACTTTTGTCCAACTGATGGATGATCAGATTGATCCACTTTTACATTACAATTCTAAATCTTCTGAGGTAGAAGCCACTGTATCATTAATTAAGTTATTCGGGTATGTTTCTCCAAATCTTATCTGTTCTTTTCCAATATAACTGATACTCCTTAAAAGTTATTTTTGTGAAATATTTTAGACACAAAAGATGTAGAAGGAAATGTAACAAATACTTTGTTCCTTGCTTCTAGGCTTAAAAAATAATACATCACAGCTACAATTGAAGAAGCTCTGTGTACCCTTCCTTATGCCATTCCCTTCCTTCTCCTACCATCAAACACCCATCCTGTGCATGTTTTTATACCTTTACCACATGTTAATGTATCCCTAAAATATTTGCCACTGTTTTAAGTGATCTAAAACTTTGTACAAAGGGCATCATACTCTATGTGTCACCAACTTATTTTTATTAGTTTAATATTGTATGTTTGAGATTTATCCATATTGATATATGTCAGTTTGTTTATTCATTTAAGCTGCTAGGTAGTATGAATTTACCTTAATTTATTTATTCATTCTCCTCTTTATGGATATTAAAATTTTTTCTATTTTCACTTACAAACAGTGCTACAATGAATATTCTTATATACGTAACTTGTGCAAGAGTTTCTTTAGGGTATGCATCTCGGAGTAGAACTTCAAGAACCCTGAGTTGGTATCTTCAACTTTATTAATATTACCAAATTGCCCTCTCAAGTGTAAATGACCCCCATTTACACTCCCACCAGCCTGTGTGGTTCCCCCCAGCCCCACCTTTTCTCATCACTTGCGTTGTCCAGCATTTTCATATTTGCCATTTGATAAATGTGAAAAGACATTTGACTGGGTTTTCATTTACATCTCTCCCCAGCTCTTCTCTTTAGGAAAATATCGGCCCAAGCATAAGATATTCTGAAAGTTTTTGTCTTCACCATCCCACTCCCCATTCTTCATTCTGCTGGGAAGCTCTGAGAACTTACGTATCAGGGGACACTTCAGATGTTTCCTTCCATGTGGAGGTGTGACAGTTATGACCTCTCCTCCTCAGTGTTAAGTAAGAAACTGTGAAGGGTCTGAGATTTTACCCTACTTGGAAGCTAACAAGTTAGCCTGCCATCGTTTTATATACATAAACTGACAGAAGACACAAGACCCCTGGGTCAGAGAAACAGACCATTTATGACTCACAGCACGACTCCTGTCTGATAGAATTACTCAGTAAGTCATATACACAACACTGTGCACTAAAGCTGCCCACCATCGCCTCTTGTTCCTTCATACCTAGGATAAATTTCAACTTCATGACCAGTATTGTAATCTCTGCTTTCCTAGACAATTAGGAGAAATCCATTATGGTGAAACTTGTTCCTTTTTATTTCTACAAAAGCCATGTATATCAACGGAGAAAAATTTTAGTATAGTATTTTCAGTCCCTTGTTTTTAGTTTAGCCAATTACAAGCTCAGCATCATGGCATAGTGGACGCTGTCCAAGCACAGTTTGATCTACTTTTGAATACCGATTCTGCCATTTTATACCTGGATGGCTTTGGGCAAGTTTCCTAATTTCTCTGAGATCCAAAGACCTCATCTGTACAGTAGTCATAAAATGCTTGCATCAAAGAGTTGACAGGCTCGGATGCACTAGTGCAGGTAAAACATCTGATACATGATAAATACCTCAGTGTTAACAGTGATTATTATTCTAAAAGGCAACATCCTTTGGTGGAAGGATGTTTATTTCCCTGAATTTAGTAAACACCCCTTGCCCTGATGTTATTCCATAATTATTGCTCCCAGGGATATTTTAGATTTGACAGAAAATAACCACCGCCTTTATTGGGTACCCACAGGCTAGATGTTTTTTTCAAGGTAGAAATTATGCTACACACTTTACAGATGAGGATATGAAGCAAGAGAAGTTAGGAAAATTGCCCACAGTCACACAGTCAGTAAATGTTAGATCTAGGATTTGAACCCACGTCTGTTTACTTCTTAGCCCTGGGCTCCTGTGTATTTATCAATACAAATTAGGATGTATACATTTTAATAAAGCATCAGGATATTAGAGCATTTGACTCATTTTACTTAGTCATGAATATGAATATGACAGTAAATACATTCACAGTTTGGGGATAGAAATGATGCCAAAGTCTCTTGTGATTTTTCTTTACCAGGGAAGTGTAGCTCTACTAAACACACACAAAGTGTCCAAGCTTCCTGTGTGAGTTTAGTAGTGAGCAAAGCCTCTTGAGAAAATGAAACAACCAAAAATCAGTAATGTTTTTAAGATATTTCCTTTTTTACCACTTAACTAAAAGTATTTTGAAAATCCAGTTGCAATTCTAAGGAAGCTTCTCCAACACAGAAAACAATCCCAGGCCAGAGACCCTTGAACTCAGGCACTTTACAACCAACTTCCTTTATGCTTTTCATTTTTTACCATCCTTCTGCTGAGCAGTAAAATGAGTGAGCAATACAGGAATATCAGAATTTTTAGTGTTTTCCTATTCCGTTGGAAGGCTTTATCTGATCTGAGCGATGCTTTAACTACGTTAACACAGAAATACAGCCTCAATGTCGGTGGCTTAAAAGTAAAGAACCATGCTTAGGATGGAATGGCATGTTTAACTTTTCTCTTTCTCATAATCTAAAGACTTATTTCAAGTTATACAATCAGAAAAATCAATGTTTAAACTCTAAAGGACTATTAAGTTCAGAAATCTCCCCTCCAAAGTCCTTCATGTTTCACCAGGTCTTTATTTTAATATGCAATTAAAGCACTGTAATGCCACAACTGATGATGGGAGACTTTCTGTGGGATTAGTCAACCCACATTTAGCCTTCCATCCTTTGTTTCCAGATTGAGCAGAATCTTGCAGTTTCACCCCATCTCTGCCTGTCTGTCTATTCCTCCAGTTGATATTTAAAGTTAGCTTCAAAATAAATAATTATAAGCACCTATGTGTGTCATCACCCATACTATACATTTTCTTCTTTCAAAAATTCTTTCTCCTTGATGCTCAGATTGCTTTGCCACTCTAAACCAAACTGGACTACCTATGAATGCATCAGGAGGCAACCCATTTCCGTAGCTACTTAAGGTATGGATAAAGCCTACAGCAATTATGCACTTTCATTTTAGGCAGCCTCTTAGATTTAACTTTTAATTACTTCCTAGGAATGAGTGCCTCTACCCAATTCACTTAAGCAGATGTAACTACAACTGCAAAAAACACTGTTGACTGGTGTCCTCCAGAGACCTGTTCATTACCTGTCATTAAATGTTTTAAAAGTTTGCATAATTGATCCAGCCAATAAGTCATCATTGATTTATGGGGTTCTGTGCTGAAGAGTTGCTCTTTAAAAATTCATAACACTGGTATGTGTCTTTACAATCCATTAGCTGTTTACGTACCCACAGCCTTAGCATTGATTGACCTTGGACTGAGATTCTCATGGACTTCTTTTTTTTGCAAGTCCTCAGTATAGAAAAGCAATACTTCAGCCTTCTCCCTTGACAGTTATACTTTGATTTTTTTCCCCCTCCATCAAAACAGAAACTTTACTTGAAATGATGAATAAAGCATATTCCATAAACAGCTCTTCACTATTATTTAAGCTTATGGGCTGCGTTGTGTGAATCTCCTTTCCCCACCATCAGATTCAAGTGTGTAAATGTTCTAAAAGGCTTTGAAAGTTTTATGATGATTTCAGGGGATGGAGGAGTAATAGCTGAAGAGTGAAGCTATTAGTTTTAATATTTATATTGAGTGCTCTGAAACATTAATGTGACAAGATGTAAGATCAGTGCAGTGGGATATATTTACTTCACAACCATTGCCACGTGACCAAAAAAACCCGTGTGTGTGTATTTGTGTGTGTGTGTGTCTGTGTGTGCATGTTTATTTTCTAAAACTTTTGAGGCCAAGGTTCAAACGTTGTTTGCAGCTTATTATTTTTTCTTTTTCATGAGATTTAAAGTTCTGATTGATGAATACGTTAGCTTTTCTTGAACTTGAGCTATTTTTAAGAAGCAGGAATGGGCTGCCAGACAAAGGTTGATACATGGGTTTGTTAATTTGTGTGGGTCTGCATTCCAACAGTACTCTGAGCCCACCATAGTGAATACCATCCACCAGATTAGTAACACTTTCTCCTGCCTTCACTTCCTACTGTGTCTTGGGGAATCTAAAGAGTGATGATTATAAATCTGGACTGAGAGGACTTTGTAATGAGAGCCACTCCAGGCGATTTCATATGGAAAAGAAATGAGGCAAGGAAGTTTTGAGCTCTGGACTCTGTCAGTTCCGGATTCAGCCTCAGCTCCACCCCAACAGGCTTTGTGACCTTGTGCATGTCTCTCTACATTTTCAAGTTTGATTATTGATTTTTAAAAGGAGAATAATAATTTACCAATTCACATACTTCTTGCAGTGATTAAGAGACAATCCCTGTAAAGACCTGGCACAGTAAATATTCCTGAGTATTATTCCCACAATCAAATGAGCAAATACCTTCAGCGTGCCTGTAATGTGCAAGGCACTGAATTTTCACCAATTACTAGATTTTTAAAGTGTGATATATGGTTCTCATTTTCAAGATATTAACCATCTATTGGGAAACCAAGAACATTTGACCAACTTAAATCTCAGAACAAAGGCAGAAGTGTTGTTCTAGAACTAGAGCAGACCTAAAAGTCCCGAGTTTAAGTCTAAGCCCTGCCATTTGCTGCCTGGACAGCACCAGGCTTGTCAGTCTCTCTGAGA